AAAAAAAAGGAGCGGAGCGTTTTTTTTTGGGGGGGGGGGGGGGCAGATCAGCGTGATTAGGAATAGGAAAAAAAAAGAAGCGCATACTTGAAAAATACGAGCTACAAACGCCCTGTTGTGACTGGGGACTCAATGGCTTCATTTTTAATACAACTGTGAACCCAGCTTATATTATATCATAAAGATACTACTTTATTTCTACAAGATTTTATTAATATATAGATTTTTATAGTGCCAACAGTTTGCAAGTGCTTTACAAATGAAATTCACAGTGAAGCTGGTCAATTAAAAGAGCAAGAGGGTTAGTACTGTATGTGTATTGTCCACAGGATTGAATCAGCCATCCCTGTTACATGGCAGGTTAGGGAATGATAGCCAGAATAATGGTAAAGCATGGAGCTTCCCTTCTTCCACATGTTATAAATAACATACATGTTTCTGGCTTTTCAGGAAAACAGAGATCCTATGTTTTACCATGTAATGATCGAAAGACAGTTATTTCGAAATGATGGCTGTACCTGGGATGGATGCTTTTTCTCTTCCTCATTTATTAACCAGTCAAGGTCTTTCTCAAAGTCATCTTCATACTCTGGCCCTCCTTCAGAATCTGATTCCTCCTTCTTACTCATCTTTGCCGAGATGCTGTGCTCTTCTCCTATTAACACATTAATACGAGGCTGTTTTTGCACGTACTGTATATCAGATATCACATCATTGAACATAAAGTTATGTATGGGTATGTTATTCTCCCAATTTCTGCATGCAAATATGCTGCCAAAATACATCAGAACCCAATTTTCGTTAGTTCAGCAAATTACTCATAAATGCTACAAAGACCTGAGTTTCAGCCCTTACTATGTTTGTGAAGTAGGCCACTTTAATCTCAATATTCTTCAAGCTGGCACCATTTGTGTGCATCTTGGCGCTTAGTTGCCTTAACCCCTTTTCAATCTATATAGTCTAATGAGAGCTCCAAACAGCATAAGAACTCAAAAATTTTAATTATAGTATTGGTTCACAAACAACAACACTGAACAGCCAACGCATTTCGGGGACTCCATGACCTCCCCGTTCTTCATGGATAATATTAAGGACTCAAAGCTAGAACAAATCACCAAGTGTTAATTATTTGAGGGGTATAGCCAGAATCAGTAAATCTGGCCTCTTTTGCTGAGTCACTGATTCGGGCTATACCCTATACAGCAAATAATTAACTCTTGGCGATTTGTGCCAGCTTTGAGTCCTTATTATTATTATTATCATCCATTCTGTTAAAGCCCTGAAAAAGTTGGAGGTCTTTGAGCCCCCAAAACATGTTGGCTGCTCTATTAATAATCAATTTAGTTTAATTTAATAAATTAAACGTTTTTGGAAGGTACACCAACAGTGAAAGGTTGGTAAATGTCACATTTACTGCTTTTCATATATATACACTCCTAAATCTTTTATCTGCACTAGAAATTTTAAAGAGCCAGTACAAAGGAAAAGTATTGGTGAAAAAAAAGCTCTTCTTCGCTTAACAAATATTTTTTTTGTAACAATTATTCACGGTCTGTTTATGTCTAGGGGACCAGTGTAAAGCAGTTTTACTGTTAGGGAACCAAGAAACCAGACTGAAACTTAACCCTTTCGCTGCCAAGCTCTCCAGAACGCTTTACACCTCAGCTGGCCACACCATTTTTCCCATTGTTTTGATTTTCTATTGTTGCGTTGCTTGCGTTTGTAAAAGACACCCCAACCATATATTTTCTAAAAGCACAGGCCCGGTAGAATAAAAAGATGGTATTAAACTGATAAAAATACACAATTCAATTGATAAAAGCAAACTAAAATTTTTCATTTTCCATTTATGAAAGCTTTTTTTCCCCATGTCAACATTACACTGCAGTGCACACAGATGGAAAACAAATCTGTTTGTGTAAATTTTGAGTGCAATGCTGAGGGATCTCTTCAGAATTTTTTTGCACCCAATTTAGACGGTTTTCACCCAAGATTCACACATTTTTCCAATGAAATCTCAGTTGTGTGAAAACATTTATAAATGGTCATTAAAGAAAAGATAAGAAGTCAAGATTGTGCAGATGCAAATTGGTGCACTGTTTTTGATGTTGTTCCAAAAGCTCATGAGCCCCCTAAGTGATAGCAGTGACTGCAGTTTTTCACTATTTTAAAGGCACAAACAATTTTGAAGCTTGACATGTTTGGTATCTATGTACTTGGCGCAACCACATCTTTATTATTTCACACAAAAAATTGGGTAATATATAGTGCTTACATTCACTAAAATGCCTTAAGTGTAGTTGTTACTGAACACTTGCGTTTGATAAACAGTTGTGCTAATATCATGCAACATAAAAATTGCAACTGCCAACAATTAATTCTCAAGGGCTTCTGCTTTTAGGCAATCCATAAATCTGGTGGTAGTGGTGGTGGGGGTTAGGTAATCTTCAGGCCTAAAAAATGGTTAATTATCTTGTTTGTAATTTCCAAAAGCCAATATAAAGGAAAAGTAATGGTGAAAAAAAGTATTTTGCGATTAACAAATCATTTTTGGCATTTAAATTCTTAATGGTCCACAACACTGTCGGCGTGGCAGGGGGTTTGTCCACTGCCTAAATAAATTGTGTTGGAAGGTAACCTTCTTTCGAATCTCAGAATGAGAGGTACAATTACTTTCTGTTTCTACTAGTTGCTACAACAAGATACTTATCACATGTTTGGATCTAAGATAAAGAGTACAGTGAGCTTTATATGTGTTATGTGTATGATATGTTTTGGTTTTTTTTGTAAGTTTGGCTGCACTCTACATAGCTGCTGCTGGTAACTCATTTTATATGGTAACATACATTTATTACTGATATCCCCTAAATGTTTTCCAAATATCTATTATGTTTTTGTACTGACTAAAAACAGGGGTGTACCTATACCATGCGTAGCCTGAGGCCAGGGCCCAGGAAGGGGGTGTGAGGGTAAGGGCTGCTGGCGGTGGACGGAGGGGGGTAGCAGGGATGGGAGCATAGCTGTCGGTCGATGCTCGTTACTTTGGGGATGGCAGTGGTGGATGCCTGTTACCACTGTCTAGCATCTTGCCCAGCTCACTGATGTCACTGGCTGCCAGGAGCTGGGCAGGACACCAGCCAGGGCCTCCCGCTCAGCTCCTGGCAACTAGTGACAAGTTGCTAAGAGCTCAGATGGCCCAATGAGATGCCACCAGAGGCAAGCGCCTCAGGCTACTTCATTATAGGGATGGCCCTAACTAAAACCAACACAAAGCTGGAAAAGTAAGTGTAAAGGTGCCCATACACCTTACAATGTATCTGCAGATTTTCTGTGGTCAGATAGAAAAAGTGCAAAACAGATTGGCCCAGGTGGAGATTACTCCATACACACAGTTAAGTGTAGATGGAGGAATCTGTTGCACCTTTTCCATCTGACCACAGAAAATCTGCAGATAATTGTAAGGTGTATGGGCAGCTTTACTAACAAGGAAGAGCTGAAAGAACATTTTTCAACTAATTAGGTTGATTGGTAACAGGTCAGTATGATAAACATAATTGGTTATATAAAGAGCATCTTACAGAGTCAGAGTCTCTCAGAAGTAAAGATGGGCAGAGGTTTATATTCTGTGAATAGCTGCGTCTAAAAATGATCAAACAATTTCAGAATAATGTTCCTCAATGTAAAAGTGCAAATACTTTAAATATATCATCATCTACAGTACATAATAACATCAAAAGATTTTGAGAATCTGGAAAAATCTCTGTGCGCAAGGGACAAGGCCGAACACAATACCGAATGCCCGTGATCTTCAGGCTGTCAGGTGGCACTGCATTAAAAACAGGCATGATTCTGTGATGGACATTGATATGCATTGGCTCAGGAATGCTTCCACAAATCACCGTCTGTGAGCTCAGTTCGCTGTGCCATCCAAAAATGCAAGTTAAAGCTCTATCATGCAAAGAAGAAGCCATATCAGAACATGATTCAGCGCTGCCATCTTCTCTGGGTCATTTAAAATGGTCTCTTGCAAAGTGGAAAACTGTTCTGTGGTCAGACGAATCAAAATTTTACATTCTTATTGGCAACTATGGGAAGCCGAGTCCTCTGGACTAAAGAGGAGAGGGACCTTCCGGCTTGTTATCAGCGCTCATTTCAAAAGCCTTCATCTCTGATGGTATGGGGGTGCATTAGTGCGTATGGAATGGGCAGCTTGCACATCTGGCATGGCCCCATCAGTGCTGAAAGATATATCCAGGGTTTAGAGCAGCATATACTCCCATGCAGATGACGTCTTTTTCAGGGAAGGCCTTGCATATTTCAGCAGGACAATGCTAAACCGTATACTGCATCTATAACAGCATGCTTTCCTAGTAGAAAAGTCCATGTGCTTAAAGGAGAACTATGGGGTCAGTGTTTTTCCCCATAGTTCTCCTTAGGGTAACGGGAGGACACAAACTAGCGTCCTTCCGTTACCCTAAGCTCAGTATACCACGAGCTACAGCTCGCGGTATACTGAGACGCCGGAGCGGATCACGACTTAGATGACGGGATCCGCCCAGCTGCGTGAGTGACAGCTGGCTCTGCCTATCTAGAGGCAGAGCCAGCTGTACCCGCCCCCTCCCCGTCCGTTCTGCCAGTCAGCGCTGGCAGATCGGAGCGGGGAGAGGGGAATCCAGCCCCTCCCCCTGTCACGTCAGAGAGCTGTGACAGGATCGAGAGGCGAGCGAACCCGGTATGTGTTCGCTCACCTCCCGATCTACTGAGCCGACCTGTGACAGTCTCATTGTCACAGGTCTGCTAGAACTATGAGGTGAGTGAAAAGCACTCACCTCATAGTTCTCCTTTAATTTGCCTGTCTGCAATCCAGACCTTTTACCATTTGAAAATATTTGGTGCATCTTGAAACGAAAAATACGACAAAGAAGATCCAGGATTGCTGAGCAGTTAGAATCCTATATCAGGCAAGAATGGGACACCTTTCCTCTCCCAAAACTCAAGCAACTGGTCTCCTCAGTTCCCACACATTTACAAGAGTGTTGTTAAAAGAAGAGGGGATGCTACACCCTGGTAAACATGGCCCTGTCCCAATTTTTCGAGATGAGTTGTCATCAATTTCAAACTTACCTTTTTTTAATCGGTTCATTTTCTCAGTTTAAACATTTGATATGTTTTCTATTTTCTATTGAGAATAAAATATGAGTTTATGAGATTTGCAAATTATTGCATTCTGTTTTTATGTAGATTTTACATAGCGTTCCAACTTTTTTTGAATTTGGGTTGTAGAACTAGAAGGATTTATGTTTTAAAAAAGGATTTGTTTGTACTTACCACATCTATTTTAGTACATGGAAGGTCTATAGCGTGAATCTACTTTTTGTGAACAGGATTTGCTTTGTACACAGACAACTATAATGCCCTATGGGTTTTAGTACACTCATTAACTGACTTCACTTTTATATACCCAGTGCTATAATGGCAAAATCTATTTAAATACCTAATATTAGTCCTAATTGTACCTCCGTAATTTATTCCAGAAATTATCTAAAATATTTCAGCTTCCTTTTAAGCCTACTTAATCAAATAATTGTTTTTCTACCACTAATCTCTCTAAACAAATGTGACGAGTGGCTGCTAAGCTACAAGGAAATTACAAGC